AACTAAATAAAATTAAATAAATAACTACTAATAAATAAATAATAACAACTAACTAACTAACTAATTAGTAGTAGTTATTATATTATTATATGATATTATTTTTTTATATTTTTTATTAGATTCTACTATTCTTGAAGAATAGACACGCCGAATTTCAAGTAATTTTGATTTGTATAAAAGAATTAAAATTCAATTACGAAACACAATCGTGATCATTGGATCGGTCCAAATTTAATTTGGGTCATTGGGCTTACACTATTCTGTGATCCCACTCTCAGAAGTTTTTCCTATATATATATATGTAAGTTTTGTTAGGCTACACCACTTGGTGGTGTAGACCTTTAAAGTCTTCAATAGTTTTTTACACTAAAATTCCCTTGAATTGTAATACAAATTTTTTCAAGTATGGGCATTTTTGGTCATTTAGAAGGATAGAATGGATATTTTTATAAAAAAATAATGGCATTTTATTAGTAGTTAAAAACAATTATTGCATCTTGTGGGTGATGTCACACACCATATCAGTAATGCCATTGTCCATTATTGTTAATAAATGCTTTTGTTTCTATTAGAAATTTCTAGTTTAACCTTGACTAAATGCGTAAAATACTCCTAAACAAAAAGTTAATATACTATAGGATAAGGGTATCTAAATGTCTAAAAAAGTTAAGCACTTTAAGGGTCTACTCCATAAGTGGTGCAGCATATATATATATATATATGATGTGGTTAGCATGCGGCTAAGCCCGCACATGTAGAAATGAGGGACCCTTAATACTTTGTTTTTTGAAATAGAATTGGATCCTAATTTTTAGAGAATATATAATCTTTAACGAGGAGATCATGAATATGAAAAAATAAATAAATTTTGAAAAGTAGAAATAATAATTCTATTAAGAAAACATTTTGATCACTAGTTTTAATTGTTTTTAGATGGACCACCTATTTGTACAAATGCGGTGCAGCCCGCATGAAACAATTGTTCATATATATAGTTGTAATATGTGTACAATACATTAAACAATTAAATTAAAGCGTACCTCTAAATTTTAATAAGATGCAATTTTGGTGTAAAAAATTATTAGGATCGCCTCATAATCTATTTTTATCTCTAATTATATAATTTAAACTCTAAAAAATGGTCAAATCAACTAGATCTATAAAATGCATGAAAATCTTGAAAATAGACAGTGCAGATAATTTTTTGCAAGATGTGCTATTTTTAGGACTTGAATTATCTTTTTTTCCCCATATCTTTACAATTTTGTCAAGATGATCAATTAGATGTTTTAAAAAGATCAAAACAACATTTGTCAAAGGATTTTAGTTGCGCCTTATTTCTACATTTTAAGGTATCGACTTTATATAAATATTTTCCTATATAGAGATACATAGATATAGGTGTGGTTTGTATAAGGCTAAGCTCCGTACAATCAAAGTAAGTCGCATCTTTAAATTGGTGTGAAAGATGTTGTTTCAGTACTAAAAATCATTGTAATGACCAAAAAATTTATTTTCATCTCTAATTATAAAATCTAAAGTTTTACAAATGGGATTGTCTACAATTTTCATCTCTAATTGTATATGGAAGTCATAATCATTTCCCCTCATTAGATATCAAATTTATGGCATAGGGTGAGTCACGAAGTCTGAGAAATTTTTTTGGAACTTTGTGTCTATTCAATGATATTCTTACAACCATCCAGTTTGAAATTTAAGGGTCACAAATGATTGTGACATTCATATACAAATTATCAATACTCTCTTTGTAGGCAATCCCTTCAAATAATGTAGAATAGATCGAGCAGATCTATGAACACTTGGTAATCTTGAAAATTGATGGTCTAGAAAATACATTACATGATGCATTATTTTCAAGATTTGAAATCCATTTTTTCTCATATCCATTCATCTTGAGGTCAAGATTATCAATTTCAGGATTGTTGGGCATCGAAATAGCCTCTTCTAGTGAATTTTTGAAGTGCACCTCAACTTGCTTGTTTAAGGCCCATATTTTTTTTAGGGATTATCTATAAAGAGACTATTTATGTTCTGTAAATGGAGGTATAATCATTCTTGTCCATGAAATTTCAAAATAAGCGGTTAAAAAAATCTTGTACTTTATGATTCACCCTAAGCCATCCAATTTGACAGTTAATGAGTGGAAATGCTTGTGAACTCCATGTACAAAAGATAAATGATCTCTCTATAGATAATTTTTTTATATATGAGACTATATACAATGAGGCCAAAAAAGTTTTTATGCTTCCCCTATAGCATAGAAGTTTTATCCTCCCCCTACTATCCAGCCATCTAATTTGATCAAGAGAGCCACTCACTGTTTGATCTTAGATCGACATCTCAAAATATTTTTATTTTTAGTTTTTTTTTATACAAATTATATGAATATGAATTTTGGTAAGTGCCATCTTCTCATTGGGGCGCACCTATAAATAATATTAAAAATAAATTTTCGATAAAATATAATGATCACAATACCCCTTGAATCTTTTAAGGGTATTTTGGTCATTTTATTTTATTGAAAATATTTTTTTTATATTTTTCGCTAGTGCGAGTTTAATAGAGGAATGGACGACCAAGTTTTGGTGTCAAAATAATTTATAGAAAAAAAATTAAAAGTAAAATAGTGTAGAGACATGAAATTGTGATTGAGACAATCTTATTCCTCTATTTCGAATGGACGGTTGGATAAAAGGGCGAATGGAATTTTTATGCTGTTGGGGAAGCATAGAAAGCTTGTTCTTTAACTTTGGTATAGGAAGGTCACAATTACTTACAACCATATGATGAGAAATTTGATAGCTTGGGTATGTCACAAAGTTCAAGAAAAAAAATTTTGAACTTTGAGCTTGGTTAATGAAATAAATGCAACAACTCAATTTCACATTCAATGGTCAAGATTAGTTGTGACCATCTTCTATCAAAGATAAATGGTTTCATTGTATACATATATGAAAATATATATAATGAGACCATTTATCTTTGATACAAAGTGGTCACAATTAATCTTGACTATTGGATGTGAAATTGTCCATTATGCATATAGATATGGATATCTCGGCATTTGCTTGGATGATGCGATTATTTTGGTATAAATTGGGGGGTACTCTATCCATTTCTCAGATTCGTCTAGAGATCGATATTTTCTTTTTTTGAAATGCCAAAAGAGGTTATGATCCCGAGGGCGTTCAATGCCCATTTAATCCTTCGACAAAACTTAATCCAAGTACTTTTAAGAGTATATAACCTTCTTCAACCTATATTACTTTAAAAAAAAAAATCCAAAATACATTTTTTGTTGGCTCGAAGAAAGTAAGACATTGAAATTGAATAGAAACTTTCAATTTTTCATGGTGAGATCTAAGTATTAGAAAAATATCAAGATGCAATTTTTTTTCTTTTGAATGCAATCATCTATGGGTGCAGTTTGCATACGGATACATCCGTAGGTGTAGAGGTAAGAGGTAAGGTGCACCTTCAAATTTTATCATGGTATATAATTTTGATGTAAAATGTTTTTAAGATTATCTCAAAATCTATTTTTATATCTAATTTTAAGATTTTAAATTTCAAAAATAGCTAAAATCAAATAGATCTATAAACATATGAAAATCTTGAAAATAGACGATGTAGATAATATGTTGTAAAATGTACTATTTTTGAGATTTAACTTTTTTTATTTTTCATAATCATCATCTCGATGTCGAGATGATCAATCAAATGGTTTTTAAACATTAAAACTAATAGATTTTTGAGGAGCATCCATAGTTCTACATTATAAGATAGCATCCTTATATAAAAAAAAAAAATTATCATCAATTGGGTGGTTTCCACAAAAAAAAATTTATCATCTATTGGGTGGTTTCCAAAATTTCATACAAAAAAATCTTTAAAGTCATTTGCGGAGGAATCACTATACCATATGCTCCCACGGGATCATAGTATACGTTCCGGCTTACCGGAGTGGCTTCTGAGACACCCCTTTGATGCAGGTTCTAAAAATGATACAGTTTTGAATGCACCCTTCTTTCCTTGAATATCAGGTAAAAGCTTTGTGAAATCCTCTAAAAACTTTCTTTAATGGCTTTGATTTTTCTTCAGGCCACGAATTCTTCACTGGTTTCTCTAGATACCAATCAAGCCTTTCCTTCAAAGCATGGACTCGCTCCAGGTTTTCTCATGAACATTTCCATTTCTGCAAATTTACCATCCCAAAACAGTTTCAGAAAGCCCAAAAGTTTACGTTCAGTTGCTAGGTCTATTTTTGGTGGAATTAATGCTAAAAATGGTACAGTATCGTGTTCAAATGGTAATGTGCAGCCTCCCCTTGATGAAGTACCCAATAATCTGGTGGAAGAACAACTTCCATTCAAGGAAAGTAGCTCTGGTTCAGAATTTCCACGGCGTGAGCAGAAGTATTTGCAAGACCCACCTTGCAAAGATTCTTATTTCAATGGTGCCACACCAACTTCTCCCGTTAATGTGCCGCTTCCCCTCAAAACAATACCTAAAAAGCAGTTCGAAATGAACCTTCCATTTAAGGAAAATGACACTATTTCAGAACTCCCATGGCAAAAAATGCATAATTTATCTGACCCAATTGGAAATTCACCACCATCAAAGGGCCCAGCAAATGGCTTGGTAAGACCCGAAAAGACGAAGGGGCAACAAGGGTTACCTACACTTTCCTTCCTAAGAAAGATTGGGCATCATAATGAAGTTAAAATGCCTACTGCTCCATGGATGAGAGGCCCACTTCTATTGCCTGCTGATGATGTGTTGGATTTATCCAAAAGTAGAAAAAAGTCAAGCAATGAAATGAATTCAGATGATAAAGCTCTTACTGGAGGAGTTCGGGGAGGAAGGAGCAAGCATGCGATGCGTTTAATTATGGAAAACATCACAAAACTGAAGGAGATTCACGAAGAAAATGAGCAAAAGAAAGAAACCCACATTGTTTTATCAGATGAAGTGGACATTCGAAGCAAAATTAATTCTAGTTTTAGTGAGGGGGCCACAAAATCAATAGAGGCCGGGTTTAATTTACCATTGAAGGAAGTATCTGTTAGTGAAGACCAAGCTATGGAAACCAAATTGCCATGGACAATGGCTGAAAAGAATGTTTTCCGAAGAGTGAAGAAGGAAAAGACTCCAACTAAAGCAGAATTGAGCTTACCCAAGCCTCTTCTAACAAGGTTGAGAGATCGAGGTCGGACATTGACAAAATGGGTTAAGGTGAAGAAGGCAGGTGTGACTCAAGAAGTAATGAATGAAATATATGCTGTTTGGAAGAAGAGGGAACTTGCTATGCTCAAGTTTGATGTGCCATTATGCCGGAACATGGATAGAGCAACAGAAATCGTGGAGGTTTGTTAAACTGGCTCCGTTTTATGCATTTTATTTCTACTGTTTTATTATGTCAGACATGAATGGGAAGGAATCAGAGCTCTCTCTGTGTTGTGTGTAGAGCATATTCAGAGTTCAAGTAGTAAAATTTTATTTAATTTAGTGGAACAATGTATGATTAGTTTTAGAGCATTTTTGGATGTGCATGGACATGGTGCCTATGCGATCAGAATATTTGAACTTACAGGATTTCCTTCAAAAATGTAAGCTGAATTTTTGTCAAACTCAAAGTAACATGACCAAACTCAAGAGGTCGTCAAAATGAAAGACATGCTCTTTTGGTAGCAAAGTTGGTTAGAACAGATTGAGATTCAATTAACTGAAATGACGAGAAGGTTCTATTATGTCTATGCTTTTCATTATACTTTTATGAGGACATCCTATCAGACGGTGTGTTTTAGTGAGATTATGAATGTAGGGACTCTGTCTAAGTGGTGGCCTTACATTGGAAAGCATTTCCTATAAAGACAGTTAAGAATGGAAAAATCCTATGCTCATCTCTTCATTTGGTATTGGATTATTCTTTAAATTTTTAATGGATAAGAATGCATAAATCCTTTGATTCTTTGAGTTTTGATCTTTCGATATATGGAGTGTTGGAGCGTTCTCCAAAACTTGTGGATCCTAATTTGGTAGATGAAAGCTTAAGTTGTTAATCAACAGCCACTGAAAGCCTATGTTATTTTCAGTCCTAAATTGCTTGATATTAATAATCGGCAGAAGATAAGCGTTAGTTCTGTTGTTTCTTGCAGACTAAGACTGGAGGGTTGGTTGTTTGGAGAAAGAAAGGTACCCTAGTTGTGTACAGAGGAACCAATTATCACTCACTTTCAAAAACTTCTGAAACAAATCCTTGGTCTCTTGAGCTTTTTGATGACAATAAAATATCAGCACCAAATGGCTTTCTGAATTTCAAGGATGACACTATGATATATCAAGCAGGCTCAGATGGCCTAATGAAGGAAACGCTGTTTGAGAGGGAAGCTAATAGATTACTGGATGAATTAGGACCACGATTTATTGATTGGTGGTGGTCCACACCATTGCCTGTAGATGCTGACTTGCTTCCTGAAGTAATTCCAAATTTCAGGCCTCCATTAAGGCTTTGCCCTCCTCATATGCAATCAAAGCTTACTGATGAAGAATTGACATACTTAAGGAAGTTTGCAAAGCATCTACCAACTCACTTTGCCCTGGGTAATCTACAATTATTTCTTTCTATGTATGGCTGATGCTAAAAGCCTTATTGTTTGGTGTTGGATCGAATTTATTTTTTCCTTCTTCATTGTCAGGGAAAAATACAAAGCTTCAAGGCCTGGCAGCTGCCATCTTGAAGTTATGGGAGAAAAGTTTGATAGCCAAGATAGCTATTAAGTGGGGGATCCCTAATGTTAATCACCAACAAATGGCATATGAGCTCAAGGCAAGTAAGGTTCATTATTTTCTCCAGTTCTTTTGCAGAATTGAGAAATGATTCGACAGAATTGAGAATGTTTCATGCTCTAGGATGGTAATTTGCTATAGTTTACTTTTATGTAAGCATATACTTCTATAATGTCATATTTTATATTAATTTCTCCTAAACCAAACAAATTGATTAGTTCTGGAGTGTTGAGCCCTTATATTCAACGAGGAAATAAAAATTGTGAACGTAACCCCAAATGTAATTCGTCATGAGTTGTATTTAATATTTAGATTCAATTCGTGAAAGCAGTTATTTTACTACTATGGCCAAGCACTCTGTCATGTATGACATTGGGTTTACTTGTGTCTTTTGTTGGCACAATCAGGAAATGAATTGATACGATTCCTAGAGGAGCCATTGTCTTTTGGAAATTGGCTATCTTTGTCTCTGCTACTGCAGCATACTATCCATACAATATTCTTGATTTATCCTAGACTAGTGAACCATGTCTTACATAACACAAGGAATCTACCTATATTTAGCTGCTTTAGCTTGGTTTTTAAACTCATTTAATTTGAATTGCCTACTGTCCAAACAGTAAGGATGCAAGGTCCTCTATTTGATTATGGAGTTCCTCTTTCTTTAGTCATGAGCTACTAGCTTACTGTTAAGATGGATAAAACATGTACGCAAGAGAAGCCCAAGTGTCAAACTGATAGGGTGGACGCCCTTTATTAGTGCTTGGAAGCCTTTTATAAGGTTAAAGGACTCGGACATGCTCTCATCGGAAAGTATTGAGTAATTTATCACTTTGTTCTTATACTTTCTGTCTAATACAATGCATTTTATCTATGAAGGGTATCTCTCACACGATTAAGTGTCAAGTTTCAAATTCTTTTAGTTTTCCCCTCTACTTGTAATCAGATCAACTTTAATTTTAATTGGTAGTGGTGATGTAGGCATGAGATGGACAAATTTGGGTTTTTCTGGTGACTAATTGGGGATTAAGGGATATATTTTCGAGATTTGTTAGGGCTTGATTTGGTCTTTTAGCAGTGCTCAAGAACTCAGCCGTTCAACTTGGACTCCGCTGAGTTACTCGGACTCGGCAGGTGCTGAGGTGAGTTCCTCAGACAATATCAGGGGATTGTGCACATGTTCAGTACTCGGGCAAGTAATGCACTATCTCGCATAAGTACTATAGGACTTAAGTGTGACTTGGGCAGACTCACGTAAGTTCCATAGTACTTGGGCAAATCATTACGGTACTCACCTGAGTACTTACCATTGAGAAAAAATAAAAGTGTGGTGGCAATCTGCCCCACACCCCCCCACCCACAAAAAAAGAAAAAGACAAAAAAAAGACAAAATACACCCCATGTTTTGATCCAAAATTTCAACCTAGGCTAGATTTTCACTAGATCAACCTATTATAAGCCTTCCATTCTAGGAAAAACACTAGATTTCATAGAATTTTGTTGGTTGAAGAAATGGAAGGTTTTTGCCCGATTATGATATTTTCAATTTTTTAAAATAGATGGTCAATCTTCGATGAAAATCAAACCCTAGGCCTAAGTTTATGTTCTTGATACAAGTATAGGCTATTTGTTCCAAAAAAAAAAAATGAAATTAGGATTTTCTAGTCTTGAATTTCGGATTCACGATATATCCAAAATTTTCAAAGCTTGGATCTCCTTGATCCCACAATAGGAACCCAAAATTGGTTTTTCGATTGGGGCTGCACAAGGAAGCTTTGCAAGAATTTATAGCCTTGATTAACACTGAATACGAGGATATGCCAATCGGCCTCGAAATTTTGGGTATGTTTCATTTTTTTCAATTTTAATTATAAATTGATTTTTTTAATATTACAATTATAATCTATTTATAATTTGTTTTGTATATGATTTTATATTATTTACAAGCCAATAGCATCAAAATTTTCGTTGGTTAATGCTTTATATGCATTTTCTGATTGGTACGCATTTTTTAGATTTCTATTTTTTTCTCTTTTTTTCAGATTTTTCGCTATATTTTTTAATTTTTTAATTTTATATTCTTATAAGTTTATGATTTATTTCTTTTTTATTTTCATTTTTCATATTTTATATTTTTTACAAGCCAATAGAATCAAAATTTTCGTTCTTTCATGTTTTATATGCATTTTCTGATTGGTATGCATTTTTCGAATTTCTATTGTTGTCTCTTTTTTTCAGATTTTTCAATATTGTTTTTAATTTTTTCATTGTTTTTGTCCTTTTTGGGCTTGGGAAGGATTCGTGCAAGTCCACTTGGACTCGCCTTTGTGTGTTTGTGTGCGGGCGCACGCGGAAAATTAGGTTTTCTTCGGGTTTCTACTTTGTCATTTAAATTGCTTTTGTTTAGTAGGGTTATAAATGTGAATGGTGGAGATTCAATCCTTATGGCTGGTTAGGATTTTATAGGAACTTCTCTTACGTTTTTTGGGTTCAAATTTATTTAAATAATGTTGTTAGGGTCTTAGAGAGTTGAGAGGAGACATATATTTTACTTTTTTTATTGATTTCTTCTGTAGAAGAAATTTTGCAGCTTGTTATGCTTCTTTTGTGTTGAATTGCTTCTTTGGCTACATTGTGCAGAATTTTGTTCTTGGTGGTTTGATTATTTGCATGTTGTAATATTGTTAATCAGTAATAAGATATCAAGGATGGCATCAACTTATTATAATTCTGTTATTCATACATATTGAATGGGGGTTCTAGAGTCTTTAGGAGACACCTCCTAAATCTATTTTACTTGCTATTTCTCTTGAGATCAGCTTTAGGACTAGTTGATGGGTTATACAAATGTGAGTTTTGAATGTTCCTCATATTTCCTAGTTGGATGGGTTGGGAATCAGTCATATTATTAATCTCCACCTTTACAAGTTCTGTTATTTAAATCTCATTCCAATCTGTATACCTTCAAATTTCAAGTCAGTATCCTCTTTGTAACACAAGAACTTCCCCATTTGGTTTAGGGGATTAATTGATTGGATACAGGAGAAATATAATCATTGCAAGGAATACCATGATAGATAGGGGTAAGGTTTGGAATCTTTGTCCCTGTCCTAAAAGCAGTATGGGAGCCTTTCATTTTGTACTACTCATATTCTTAGATCTTCATAGTGCCTCCACCAAGGTCAGAGTTGGGAGCAGCTGCAAAATGCTAGGCCTATTTAAGAATTTTTTTCCATGGCAATAAGAATACCAATAAAATGGTTATATGTACAAATGCTACAGAAAACACGGTATGATGCAGTAAGCTCATCACACATGATATCCTGCTTCACAACTGTCTTGGATGCTGTGGGTAAAGCTCCCTTTGCCTCTCAGAAAGAAGCCAGCTGAAAGAAGTGTGTAAGCACAGGGTTTTCCAAATAGCAGCATAAGCACAGAGAGAGCCAGTAGAGGGCACTCTTTTCACACTGAACGAGTAGAGCTATACAAACCATTCTCCTCTTCATTTCTGAGATTTTCGCAATTATGCTCTTCAATGCTTCACTCATGGTTTTCTATTTGTCATTACTGTGTATTGGACAGTCTTTGCTTGAATGGAAGTTGTTTCCTGAATACCTCTTTACCCCAACCTAGCCTTTTGTAGTAGATTAGAGTAGTATCTTTCTTATGGCCCCTTCCTTAGCATTAACACATGCTAGAGTTAGCAGGCTTGCTGTGCTTGTATTCTATCAGCAGGCATGCAGTGCTAGAGTAATCAAATCTACAAAGCAAAGCTGCTTGTAGTCGTAGTCTGGTAGTTGTCCTGTCATGCCTTCATTCCTAATGGTCTCGTCTGTCTGAGGGAGCAGGATAGAAGAGGTAGGATTGGATTGTGCCAGTCACAGATATAATCGGAGAGCTCCCGAGTCCGTGTTCGAGGGAGTGAAACAACCAAGTCACTTTCTAGAAGAGACCTACTGAGTAGAAGTTGCAAGTTGAGCCTACAAAGCTCCATGGTTTCTCCCCTCCTTCACCTCAGTATGCCACTATATCCCTAATGGCTGGTGAGCCAGAACATGCACAGATATGCATCGACCAGCTGGCTGGTCTATCGGAGAAAGATGTTGTAATCAGCTGATATCCCAAGCTATCGATGCCACATGGATCTCAGTATATCATGGTTAGGAATTGGACAAGGATTCGACCACCTTCCTTGTTGCATTTTTCCAGCCTGCTTTTCAATTAGTAATAGAAGAAGAGAAATAAATAAATTGTTCGTAAATAACTATTTTGTAGTCCGACCCCAAATAGTTGGGAAAAGGCTTAGAGGATGATGATGACGCCACGAGGTATCTTACCAACACAAGTTGTGTGAGCAAAACATGTAAAAAGTTACTCCCTCAAGGTTTTTCTCCATCCAACTTTTCATGTCCCACATGTTTTCTCGTTTAGGACCTAAACCTGGGATTGCTTTATAAATGCAATTTCCTATAAGTATTCTTGAATCCATGCCAAGGATAGCGGTTTCTTGAATATTTCTTCAATGATTGGGGCATAAATATGTATATATCTTTCATTTGTAGCAAAACTAACTCCTAACGTGTTAATAGTTGCTGACTTTCCATGACATTTGATGATCTGTTTATTTAAATACTCAGTAATTGATTCCTGGTTACAAAAAAGAAATCCCTGCTCTTGTTATCAATGGGCTTACTGATCTTTGAAGGATATCTAATATTTACTTGGGCCCTATATGGATGTGTTGTGAAGCCACCTGCAAATGGATGGCTTATTGGCAATGGAAGCAAAATACCTTTTTTGAAAATAGCAGTAATTGCAGATGCATGCCTTATTGAGATAAAAACCTGTGAAGCACATTTATACTCTCCATACCAAGCAGGTGTGTGCATAGAAGCTGATTTGTGTATATGTGCATCGAAACAGGGCCTTCGATGGGTGACTTCCAAAAGAACTACCTTATTTGTTCACTTCTCTAAAATCGCATGCATATTATTATTGATCTGATACCCAATGTCTGTTTTGCTATTTGGGTTTATTCTCCTAGAGCTCCACTGAGTGTTGCATTTTCTGCCCATAAATACAGCATCTAACTGGAGGGGTTCTACTTCTTCAAAACAAATTCTTCATCTTGCTCTACAGAGGCAAGGATTTTCTCCCTCCAGGAGTTGCAAATTCAATTGCGGAGAGAGAAACAACACTCAAGACCCTGCAAATCCATGAAGAAAATGCACGATCAATAGCTGCTACAGGTTTCCTCTCTCCTGATGAGACACAACCAACCACCAGCAGAACGGGGACATTATCAGATTTCCAGGAAATTCAGGAGCATTCCCATCCCTTTAATGAGAGTCAAACTGAGAGTAACATTAAATTGGAAGCAGCAAAGGAGAAATTGGAAATTGAATTGAGAAAACAAGAGCACATGCTTTCCATAGTGGGTTCCGAAATTTTCAGTTTTTTTATTGATCTTTTTTCTTTCATTTTCTTTTACATGGCTTTGAAGTTAGCATCTTCTAAAGTGTCGATATTGCTGTGCATCTTTGGTTTACAGCTTAAATTGAAGGTGGAGAGATCAGAGAAAGAGATGGCCAAGCTCAATTCAGCTTGGCAACCAGCAAAGGGGGAGGCAGACCAAGAAACAATAACAAAAGAGGAATTTCAAAATTTTCGAAAGGTTGGCTTGAAAATGGATGAGGTCTTGTTGCTTGGTAAGGAAATTTCTTATTATCCATGAACAAATAACTCTATTATCTCCGCAAATTTACAAGCATTGTTGCTAGTTCCAGGGTGGTCTTAAACAGAATATGACGAGCTTCAAAATCACCAATAACAATTGCTCTCTCTCTCTCTCTCTCTCTCTCTCTCTCTCTCAGGCAGGCGTGGTGTCTTTGATGGTGTAATTGGTAGCATTCATCAACACTGGAAGCACAGAGAGGTGGTGAAATTAGTTAGCATGCAGAAGACATTAGAAGAAGTCACGAGAACAGCAAGGATGCTTGAAACTGAGAGTGGGGGTATACTAATTGCAGTTGTTAAATTAAGAAAAGGACATGCCATCATTTTATATCGAGGAAAAAATTACAGGCGCCCACCAAAGTTGCTTCCTGATAATCTTCTGTCCAAGAAGGAAGCATTTGATCGTTCCATTGAAATACAGAGACGAGGGGTAATAACACCTGGCTTATTTTGTTTCTTCTTCGTGGTTGTTTAGTTTTTTGCTTATTATAGTTCTTGCAGAATTAGGAACTTTATACAACTTCATAGCATGGTTTTGCACTCTGTTTAGTCCTTGCTAGTGACCTTTTGTTGTTTCACACGAGTTATATGCTTCTCCTTCTGTTGTTTATTCAAAATTGTTGAATCTCTTACTTTCTTATTCCTACCGAAATGATGCTTGTTTCCATTAAAATGCTAAAATACCACTAATTTCAATTGATTGTTGTAGCTTGGCCATGATGCACAACCAAGTTTATCTATATGGGTAATTTGCAGAAACTAGTTGCTCTATTCTCACCTATTAACTTTTGGCTATTAACCATAAGAGGTAATATGTGACTAATAAATAAGCAAAAAAGGCCATCATGCAAATATGTTCTGCTTTTGCTCTGTTCCTAAATGTTGTGGATTTTATTTATTCAGAGTCTAAAGTACTTCATTTGTCAACAAGAACAATCGATATGGAAGTTACAGCAACAATTGGTATGCATCCTCAACTTTTAGCACATATAGAACTGAAAATTCTCAACGTTTTGTACTGACTCATGAAACTTGCAGAAGAAATTGCAGAAACAAGCAGAAGTAGCTGTATAAGCTCCTCCGATGCATGGGTTTTTACACTGTAAATATAATGTGAAGATTATCACTGGAAATAACTTCTTAAGTGCTGAGAAAATTGCCCAAGATTTTTGTGTTTCTGGCTATTCATGCGCCATTATTTTTATATGTACCCCATTCAATTTGTATTTTATTTATTTGTAAAATGTGGCCTTGCCTGGCCTTTAATCAATGACCATTGCCGTGTATGTGCAAAATATGAAATAATTTTGTTTCCCTGTACTTTTATTTGATAAATAAATCATAAGTCACTGCCATGTATGTACTATGCTATGTTAACTGGAAGTTGGGAATGCCATGTATGTACTACGCTATGTTAACTGGAAGTTGGGAATTCCCTGGAATGTGAATGTTTTAGTTAGGAATTGTTGATATATGGAAGTTCCGAAATACTTTACTGATAATGTGTCTGAAAGTTTTCGAGTACAGAGATCAGGCTTCACATTGATCTAACAAACTTTTAGATAGATTAGGTTCAATAACTAGAGGGAAATGCACGATGAGACAGAGGATCGAGAGAAACGGTCAAAGAGAATTAAAGAGAGAAGACGGGAGAGAAATGAGTTAAAGAGAGAAAAGGAGAAAGGTTTCTATACTTCCCGTACAGCGTAGAAGATCTATGTTTCCCTTGCTATCCAGGGTACAATTTACAGCATAGAAGATCTATATTTCTCCTACCATCTAGGTCCAATTTTGATTAAGAGAGCCACTCATCATTTGATCTTAAGATCCAACATCTCAAAGTATTTTAGTTTTAGTTTTTTTATACAAATTGTATGAATATGAAATTTGGTATGTGTCATCTTCTCATTGGGGCACACCTATAAAAAAATATTTAAAATAATTTTTTGATAAAATATAATAATCGAAATGCCTCTTGAAACTTTCAAAAGTATTTTGGTCATTTTATTAAGGTTTTGTTAGTGTAGACTTTTAAAGTGCTCAATATTTTTTTCACACTAAAATACCATTGAATTGTAAAATATGGACATATTTTGTCATTTAGAAAGGTAAAATGGATATTTTTATGATAAAATAGTAGCATTCTATTAGTAGTTAAAAACAATAGATGATGTCACGTACCATATCGGTGATATCATTGTCCACTATTTATTATTTTTTATTAGGAATTTTTAGTTTACCTTTGACTAATTACTTAAAATACTCTTAAATAAAAAGTTACTATAGAATAAGGGTATCTAAATGTTCAAAACTAAGCACTTTAAAGGTCTATACCACAATTGGTATAGCTTAACAAAATCCTTTATTTTATTGGAAATATTTTTTAAATATTTTTCATTAGTGCGATTATAATAGAGGATTAGACGTTCAAGATTTGATGTCAAAATAGTTTAAAAAAAAAATTAAAAATAAAATAGTGTAGAGACATGACATTGTGATTGGGACAATCTTAACGCTCTATTTCAAAATGGAGGGTTGGGTAAAAGAAAATATATAAGTTTTATATTATAGGGGAAGCATAGGAAGTTTGCCCTATAGAGGAGGGTTAGAGAGTGGATTGAGAGAGAGAAAGGGAATGGTAGGAGAGAAAACGACTTAGGGAGATTTAAGGGAAGAAGGAACTTATTCTAATATAAGATAAATGAGGAAGCTCCATTTTCCTATTTTCCAAAACTTCCTAAAGCCAATTTTTCGTAAATCTTTCACAAAATATGGGAGTAGTACATTATGCGGGAACTTCTGGCTTCTGGTTATCAGATTTATCCTCAGTTATTTACTTAATAGGAACTTATTATTTTCTTAGTGAATTATTAATTTATTATTCATTTTTGGAGTTAATATGTCATTCAAATTCTTCTTCTACATACCCCAAAAAAAAAAAAATCATCCAAAGAGTCAAAGCTTTCAACCATTCCTTTATCAGTTGATAGCTTCATTCATTACAGTAAGTAACCAACTTTAGGTATTCCATGAGAGTTTACTACAAGAAGCAAATATGGAGAAAGCCTTCTGAAGAATCTCAACCCCTAATTACAGTGATATGAAATCATGGCAACTTTGAGGCTGAAGACTCAGTTTTGGGTTTGGAAGCTGTGTTATGCCCTCGAAGCTTTGGAGGAAGGGGCATGGCAATTTTGGGGTTGGTGAACCAGGTGGTGTATAGGAACTGTTTATGGGGGCCAATGTGGTTGCAAATAAGCCTCAGTTTCTGCCTCTCTCTCATCCACCTCAACAAGATCTTCATATGTCGTTTGCTTGCCAAACCTCTAAGACCCACTTCCTGAAATGTGGAATGAACCAGCCATTAATGAAATAAATGATGTTGCAGAAGTGTTTGTTTAAATGCCAAAGTGAATCAAATTTGATGATAGAATTAGGTGCTGATAAAAGAATTAGGAAACTGGAAAATGGAAATCTTGGGGAAAGAAAAAAAAAAAAAAAAGATAAAAAGAGAAATGAAGAAGTGAATTTAGGGTTAATGGTGCCTTGAGGTGTTCCCAAGTATCAGCGATGGTGAGGGGGCCGTGCTCTTTGACGATGTCGAATATGACTCTGGTTATTGTTTGAGTTTGCTCTGGTGGTGTTTTGAGTTGTATGGGTTTCATCTTTGGCTTGGGCTTCTTCGCCATCATCCTTACTACTGTTGCAAACATCTCTCTGCGCTCAACTTCCACAACCCACCTCTCTTCTCTTGCTCGCAACCCCTCTTTCTCTCTCCCGCCCTTTTCCCTTATTACTTCACTGCTGGCGTTGCGTTTTCATATTCTTCTCTTATTACTTCACTGCTGGCGTTGTTTAGGGGAGAGAGATGAGCACATCAGAGAGAAAATGAAGGACACAACTGAATATTTTGGTCTAAAATATTTTTAGGATTATCTCAAAACCTATTTTTACATCTAATTGTAAAATTTTAAATTTCAAAAATGGTTAAAATCAAGTAGATCTATTAAAAATCTTGAAAATAGATGGTCTAGATAATGTGTTGCAAGATGCACTATTTTTTAGATTCAAATTTTATTTTATTTTTTTATATTTATACATTTGAATCTCGAGATAATCAATTAAAAAGTTATTCAACATTAAAATAACTTTTTCTAATAGATTTTTTATGTGCATCTTTAATTCTACATTTTAAAGTTGCAACCTTAATAAACTTTTTCCTTTATCTAACTTTTGCATACAAGATCCTTTTAATTTTAGATAAACATTCTCTTTTACATAGATAAGTAGTATGCTTCCTAATATTTGTCCCTAAATTTTTAATGAAGATGTCCCATAATTGTCATGTTTTATAATTATTTTCTAGAAAATTCGTCTTCGGATTCGTGAACAATTTTTATCGCATCTCTCTCGCCCCGTATATTTATCTCCTAAGCCCATTAAGTACTTTAAAAGCTTAGCCGTTTAGATCTATGAAAATAGATTGCCTGGAAAAATATGTTTTTATTGAAATATATTTTGAGAACAGCATTTCTTATGAAACAGATTTCAGCTGTTTGGATGCTACATGCATAACATTTTCATGCTTTTTTTTTTGTCGTTAATTTTATTTTTATATATTATTCATTATAATGTGTTTTATTATTAAATTTGAGATAGTTTTTCACTTTAAATATTTGAAATAATTTCTCTTTAAAAATATTTAAGCAGTTTCTCTCTTTATAATTTTCAAGATATTTTCTCTCTAAAAATTAAAATTTGAGTAGTATCTCTCTAAAAATTTTAAGATAGTTTCTCTCCCAAAAAATGTTTAAATGCTTTCTCTCTCTAAAAATTAAAATTTAAAACAATTTCTCTCTCTAAAAATTTTAAGTACTGTCTCTCTCTAAAAGTTGATATAATTTGTCTCTCTAACACTTAAAGATACTTTGCTTTTTAAAACTTAAAATATGAAATAGTTTCTCTCTCTAAAAATTTTGAGATAGTTTTTCTCTCTAAAATTTTTGAGATACTCTATCTATAAAACTTAAAATTTGATATATTTTCTCTCTCTGAAAATTAGAGACAGTTTCTCTCTTTAAACTTTTCAAAACTTTCTCTCTCTAAAACTTAAAATTTACGATAGTTTCTCTCTCTAAAAATTTTAAACTATTTTCTCTCTCTAATAATTTTCAAGTACTTTCTCTAAAACTTAAAAATTGAGATAGGTTCGATATAGTTTCTCTCCCTAAATATTTTGAAATATTTTCTCTCTCTAAAAACTTTCTAAGTACTTGCTTTAAAATTTGGGATACTTTCTCTTTCTAAAATTTGAGATAGTTTTCCTCTCTAATATTTGATCAATTTCTCTCTCTAAAATTTAAGATATTTTCTCTCTCTAAACTCAAAATTTGAGATAGTTTATTTTTTAAAAAAAATTGAGATAGTTTCTCTATCTAAAATTTTTTTGTACTTTCTCTCTTTAAAACTTAAATTTTGAAATAATTTCTCTCTAAGATTTTCAGGTACTTTCTCTTTATAAAAACTTGAAATTTGAGATAGTTTCTCTGACTAAAGAAATTAAGTTAATTTCTCTCTCTATAAAATTTCAAGTACTTTCTCTCTCTAAAACTTAAAATTTTGAGATAGTTTTCTCTCTAAAATTTTTGAGATAGTTTCTGTCTCTCAAATATTTTTTGGTACATCTCTTTCTAAAATTTGATATTGTTTCTCTCAATAAAGTTTTAAAATATTTTCTCCCTAAAACTTAAAGTCTGTAATAGTTTCTATCTATAAAAAATTGAGTTAATTTGTCTCTCTAAAAAATTTCCATAGTTTCCTTATCTGAAATTAGAAATAGTTTTTCTCCAAAATTTTAATATACTTTCTCTCTCTAAAACGTAAAATTTGATATAGTTTCTCTCTCTAATTCGTGGGGATGTTTTTATGGAATTAATTATATTTTATAAAGTGGATGTCCCTATAATGGGAAATCGAGCTGGAAATCAATTTTTGAGGGTAAAGACAATGATACAAAGTTCTTTATTTTTTAGTTTGAAATAAAGAAACCAACAATGGGCGGATATATATTTAAGTTCCAAAATTTCGATCGAACTGCCAAAAATGTGCAATTTCCACTAAAATACATTTTTGGAAACGTATTTTCAAGTATCCCAACGGTCCCAAAGTGTTGTTAATTGAACATTATCACTTTTTATATTCTCTCTCAAGATCCTTTTTCTTTACCTATATCTTGTTGATATTTATCTTGAATCCTTAATTTGAAGGGATTGATTTTCTTTAATTTAGGTTTCCTATTTATTTGGGTAGAACCCTATTATTTAGAATCTAAATTTGTGAATAATTCATGTTTACATTAGGATGAGGGGATCTAAGTTTGTGGATAAGTCTTATTTAGATTAAGATGAGAGTTTGAGTCTATATGGATAAGGATAAAGTTCATTTTTTTTTTATAAAGTTAGAAAAGTTGAGATTGGTTTGCCGTGCTTGTCTTTGGGGCTTTATTCTCTATATAAATATGATTTTCTAGAAAGAGAAAGCATGGGTGGAAAAAGTAGCCATACGATGAATGCACTTTTGGCTGTGTCCTCTCTTATTGAGATATATTGTTGAGATATATGGTAGAGAGAGAAAGTGCATAAAGAAAAATAAAGAGAAATTTTTGGGGCTTTTGAAGAGAGAGAAAATTGTAGAGAATAATGCTTTGTGGGAGATTGAGTATCTAGTTCTCTCAAGTAAATTTTCTTGTAATTTTCTTTCGTTGATGTAGTTAAAAACATCAATTATCTTCGCCCGTAGATGTAGTCACAATTGTGACGAACCACATAAATCCTGATGTTCTTTTTTTGTTATTTGTTTGCTGCTTTATTTTTGTTGCTTATTGCATATTTTTTATCGATTCTTTTTTCTCGTACTTTATTTACCAACAAATCAACCTATTGGATTTAGAGCTTCCGTGCACAACAAGTGGTATCATAACCATGTTTGGGGTTGTCGGTATTACGGTAAAAATTTCAAAAGCAAAATTTGAGGTGGAAAAATTTGATGGCAAAAATAATTTTGGAATTTGGAAAATTAATGTTCGGGATTTGCTAGTGCAACAAGGTTTACATAAAACTCTAAAAAGAAAGTTGAATAAACCAGAATTCATGTCTGATGAGGACTGGGAAGACTTAGAAGATAGAGCTATGAGCATTATTCGATTATGTTTATCAAGTGAAGTGCTATTTAATATCGTCAATGAGGATTCACATCAAATCTTTGGTTGAAGCTTGAGAGTTTGTACATGACGAAGTCCCTTACAAATCAACTGTTTTTTAAGCAAAAATTGTACACCCTACAGATGAATGAAGGTACATATATCCATGAACACCTGAATTATTATAATACAATTATTTGTTAGTTATTGAATATTGGTGTTAAAATGGATGATGAGAAAAAAATTATAATTTTGTTTTTTTCACTCTCTCATTCGTATGAACATCTAGTCACAACATTGCTTTATGAAAAAGATACCATAGAGATGGAGGATGTGACTTCTACTCTTCTCTCTAAAGATTTGATAAAGAGACATGATAATGCTCAACCGCATGTATATGGTTTAGTGTCTAGAGGGAGATCTGTTGAGAAAAGTGGAAAGCAACATAAAAGGCATGGCTGGTCTAGATCCAAATCCAAATAAAAAAATAATAATATTTATTGCAATTACTGCAAGAAAAAAGGGCATGCTAAGAATGATTTGGAAACTCAAAGAGAAAGAAAAATGAGCTTCTGAAGTAGCCAATATAGTTGATGGAAGCTCGGTAAGTGGAATAGATAATGTGTTGTCGATCTCGACAAATTGTGATAACTCTAAAGACTCGTGAGTTCTTGATTTAGGATATTCCTATCACATGTGCCCTTATCGGAATTGGTTCACTACATATAAGAACATTGATGGTGGATGAGTTTTGATGGGGTTCAATTTCACACGTCAGAACACACAACAAAAGGTATTTTTGACTATATTCATTCAGATGTTTGGGGCCCTACATCAATTATCTCAAAAGGTGGATCTCTATATTTTGTTTCCTTCATATTTAATTTCTCTAAGATGGTGTGGATTTACACATTGAAAAAAAATGTAGATTTACTTAACACATTCAAGCAGTGGAAAGCAATAATCGAAAGACAGACTAGAAAAAAGGTCAAATGCTTGAGGACTGATAATGATGAAGAGTGCACTTAACCAGAGTTTGTGAATTTTTGCAAGAGTTTAGAAATTGATCATCACTTCACTACTCGAAAACCCCACACAGAATGGAGTTGCTAAGCGCATGAACATGACATTTCTAGAGAAGGCCCACTGCATGTTGAGTAATACTGGTTTGTCAAAGGACTTTTGGGCTGAGGCAGTCAATACGGCACGTTACCTCATCAACATGTCACCTTCTACAACCATAGATTACAAAACACCAGAAGATGTATGGTTCGGTAAACCTGCTGCTAATTCTCATTTAAGATTTTTTTGGTTGTCTTGCTTATTTTCATGTTAATAATGATAAGTTGAGTCCATTGTCAAAGAAGTGTATTTTCCTTGGTTATGCGAATGGGGTTAAGGGCTATAGAATGTGGTGCTCAGTCCTAAGTCGTCTAAGTTTATTGTCAGATGTGATGTTAAGTTTGATGAATCTGTCACGTTAAAACACATTCAAAATGGTGTAAAAAAGGAAAATTGCAGCACAAGTCCAGAAAATACTCCAAATTATGTGTCAGAAATTCCTTGTGAGAGAGTGAAGGAAGATGTTGACCATGAGGAGGTCGTTAAATCTACTCCACTTGAGAAAGCGCCTCAATTTGGAAAAGGAAAGAGAATAAAAAAGGCAGTTGTGCAATGCGGTTTT